ACGTACTCTCTCTCTAATAAAAAGATTCTAAATTAGAACGTGGAATAAAGATGGTTGCACGACCGCACTGCGGATATTTATGCAAATTGTGTTCATACGAGAATACACGCTTTCATAAAATCATCAACGTATCGGTGGTGTACATTTTATTTATCCAAAATACCCTGTTTCACGTACGTAAAGATCGCATACGCTGCACGGTATCGCCCGATTTAAACAAAGAGCACAAATCATAAAGTCCTTTGAATTCAATTCAAACAGTTTAGGAATAGTGGCGTTCAGGATACGATCGTTTAGGAAACGTATCAACGTAACTGTCGCTTACAAATTCGATGACAAAATGACCGGACCAATTACGCCACGAAAAGATCTTTTGATATGTTTCTTCCGACTGCAAATTACTTATCGGTCATCGAAGCGCTACGATATATTTTCGAGGATCGTCTGACAGGAATGGAAAATCATTCGCTCGGCGATTTAAACGAATCACGTCGCAATATTCGTGAACGAGAGTGTGTGTATCGTATACTCCATTGGCTCGTAAAATCGGTCAAGCGTCATAGTTTACACGTTCGGGTGGCTGGACGAGGAAAGTGAGGGAAACCATAGAAGATAAGGGTTGGAAACTTCAGTCAGGGATCTCGAGAAGCGCGTACTAACTTCCACCTAGTGAGATTCAGAATCGAGGTGCCAAGTAACAGCATACCAATTGATGCAACGACAACCAGAATTCTATGCGCGACTGTTGTAAGCTTTTGGACAGGGGACCGAATCAGAGCTGCATTTCACGAGACGCAAATTGAGGCTTCGTATCTTCCGAAATTTCGACAAATTGGCTCGTGCAAGCGTTCGAATATGTAAACTTCGATCACCTAACCAGCGTTACGACACTTGGCCATATCGTACAACCTATTATCCTTACGATTGTTCGGATTCGAGCGCGACATTAAACGTTCAGGGAGAACACGTTGCCGACTTCCGAGCGGGAACACGCGTTTCCTTCGACGATGAAACGCATCCAAGGCAATTATCTCCCACTCCGGATGATAAACACGGATGCAAATTAGCGAGATCGCGCGGATGGTGTCGCGAGGATTGCGTTTAACGTGCCTTAACGCCGACGATGCCACTACAATCAGGGCAAATTTCGTCCGTTTTGCTGTACACGGTGCTGCAGTTGTCGTTGAATTTCTACGCGAAAAACAAGTATTTTGTTAGGAGACTCTCGTTTCGAAGAAAATCGGCTTTCGAAATCTTCGTGAACGAACGCACCGTGCTGCGGCAACGTAAAATTCGCGACATCCTGGTCCTAAGGTCGCCAAACAATTACGCTTCCAAGTTGGAATGTAGCCTCTTAACGCTAACACCGGCAACTGTTGTACCAAAATATGAAAATGCGTGTTTCAAATGTGAACAACAGTCAAAACGAAAGCCTGTACAAAAAGACATACGTATCGTACACCGAATCTTCCAAATCTCCGTCGCAAGTAACGATATGCAAAAGATGATAAATTGGTTATTTCTATTCCTCTATCTCGTAGTATTTCCCGATCTCTTCTAAACCGCGATTTCCTTTTAACGATTGTCGAACAAACCGAATCTCCGAACATGGAAGAACAGTTTTAATCGTATTAAAAATAATTACTTCGGAATATAATTTTAATTGAACGTTTAACCAGTGCTAAAAACAAGCGAAACAAACGTCGCAAAAATACTTGACCCCGTTGAGCGAAAAATCCGAGTTGTACTACTAACGGAGCCAGTGACCCGAAACATCAAACGCTGCCATTCCTTGATATTTTAATCTACGATCCACGTATCGCTATATTTCGTCCTGTCCAGCCAGTTACTCGTGTCCCAGACCGCTTCCTAGCCATCAATCGAACCCGAGGAATTCTTCCGGTTTCTCGTAGCCGCGGTCTATAGCTCTTTCGAAAGAAATAGTAGGGGGGTTGGGCGCGGCAAGAATCGCTGGTTGCGTAAGAACGGAATAAGGAGCGGCGACCGGATGGGTCTGAATAAATCGGGTCGCTTGCTCGTCGGTAGAATTGCTTGGCCGCGGTGGGGAACGACGATCCACGCTGCAAGAGTGGCGAAGCTATTCAACGGAGTCTGGCTGGCAGCGCGACGCCGCGCGATGCTGCGTGAAAGATGACAATCGTCGTGACTCGTTAACCTCTCGTGGCTGCTTGGCAAGGGGATGAAAAGAACAGCTACGACGAGGAAGAAAGAAACGGTAGCTGTAAGGGTGGCACAGAGCACGGACAGCAGACGGAGAGAAACACGTAGGAAGGAAGAACTGCGCGAGAAAGAATGCACCTGCTCCCTCCTAAGGGAGCGAAACGGCATGAGAAAGGAGAAGAACGGGGATAGGAAATAAAGAAGAAAGCGTGAGCGACGAAGATGGGACACGCTGCAACCGATCCGACCGACTTGCGTCTTTCGTACGATCGTGTAAGTGCACGCGTATCGGCGGAGGCTTGGCGAGATATGATTAAAAAGAGTGAGAGAGAATGGAAAATAGAATAAAGGGGGGCAGAAACGGAGAAAGGATCGCGCTGGAAGAAAATACACGGGAGGGGGGCGGGGAAGGGCGAAGAGGCAGAAAGAGGCAAGGAAAACAATCTAGCGGCGCCGCGCGAGTAAAGAACAAAAAGCCGGTCGGGAAACGGGAAAAAAGAGGAAGAAAAGAGCGCTCGATGTCGATGGAATCGCTACAATGGAATCGACGTTTCGACGCCGCGCGATCGTATTTCACGTCGGCGATTCGACGAAAGAGGGGTGTTCTCGCGGCTGAGAACCAAAACGAGACGCGCGAGTTTCGCGCGCGGTTCTGGCTCCCGGCGTTTCTATCCGTGAGCTCGTAAAACCGCACGAATATACACGTTCGATTAAACCGCGGTTCTTCGACACGAATTTTTCAGCAGTGAGTTTATCGTCGGTCGTGTTTAAAAAGTTGAAAGGGACGAGAGATCAGCTGGATGAAACAGGCGGTAAAAAAAAAAGAAAAAAGAAAAAAGAGAAGAACTCGATAGAGCGTCGATGAAATAACTGGACGATGAACGAACGCGAAGGATGGCTCGGCGATAGAGGCCAAACTAACGGAGGGGGTTGCGATTTGTTGCGGCGAGTGAATTACGATAGAAAGAGAGGGGTGATCTGGCCTGAAACCGGCAGTGCTCGTTCGTGCAGCGTTAACGCAATTATCCATTGACACAATTAATCGTCAAATTCGCTAAATTTCCATCATCGAAACGACCGTTCGACCGTCCCAGAGCAGTGACCCTTGCAAGCAGCGTCTCGTCGTCGCGAGCCACCCCCCTTTCGCGAGTTCAATGCTCCGATGGATGAGAATCCTCTCGACTTCCTATTCTCCTTCGTATCTCGTACTTCGTCCAGGTCTTTGTTTACGTCTTTGTCTACGTCGGTCCATGTACCACTCGTTTCTCCTGCCATTTCCTCCTTTCGTATCCTATCCACCATCCTTTGTCTGCCTCTCTTCTCCTGCTGCAACTTCTTACGGTTTTTTTGCTCCTTCGTCCCTCCGCACGAATCTGCACGGAGTAAATTTTTTTCGATCGATCGATACGGTTGTTCGTTCGATTCGCGTTCGACGAATAAATAGTTACGAGGACAAATATTTTAACCGCCCGATGACGAGTCATCCTCTTCGGCCCTTCGCGTATCGTCGAAAAACGATCCCGACATCCGACTTTCGTTCGCAGTTTTCCCTTCCCTTTCGCTCGTTTCAACCTTGCTGTCCCTCTTCCTCTCTACTGCATATCCCCCGTGCGTATTTTGTACCTGTACATGTGTGCACGCGTATGTTCACTTTTTCGTTTCTCCTCTTTTACCTCTTTTTTCGCTTGTTTCCCTTTTTTTGTGCTTTTTCCATCCCCTAAACAAAGAGTCGGTCGATACACACGGTCGCGACACGTGAAGCGAGGTGAAATTACAAAATTTCACGGAAGCGTCGATATTCAACGAGTTCCTCTCTCTCTCTCTCTCTCTCTCTCTCTGTCTCTCTCTTTCTCTCTTTCTCGCTCTCTCCCTCTCCCTCTCTCTCTCCCTCTACCTCTCCTCTCTGTCTCCTGTTCACGTTCGAACGGCTTGATTTCATGCGTTCATTTTTAATTGAAGCGTCCAGATCCGTTGGAAATCCGATGGCGATGATTTCACGAAAATTTCGATACACTTTCTTTGACTCGATATAACGGCCGTTCTTTCTGTCGTTATTCACAGGTGTTGGTTGATTTATCGCCTTTCGGCTCGACGGAAATCTTTTACGCGTTTCAGCGTGTAACCGCGCGTGCCGTTTCCTAATTCCTTAAGCGAAAAATAAACGAAAATGTAACCATCGTAAGTAGTGGAAAGAAACTCGGCGCTTGGTGAAATTAAATCGCGTTTCAATCCCCTCAAAGAACGAGCCGCACGCTTTTCACCAAACAACCCCGCCGCTGGTGCATGAAATCATACTTAAAATTCATGCCTCTGATCTCATCCGGCAGCTCGTGTTCCTTCCACCCTCCAGCTTGCTTCAATCTCGCTCTATCAAAGAGAAAACCACCGACGAAACTGAGAGACATCGACGTGCCGACACACGTCGCACACAATCTACGCGAATCCTCTTAAATCTATCTAAAATAATCGGAACCTCGTTCAATCGCCTAAGAACACGCGACGAAACTTCAAACCGCTGTACGCGTGAACGTTATTTTATCGTGCCTTTGGGATAACGGGCTTCGTTCGAACGGAGAATCTAATCCATACAGGACGCGAGACACGAGGGGCAACGGCCCGCAAGGATGGCCGAGAAGCGAGGGTCAAGCAGGGGCAGAACGACGGACGAAGCGGAAGGAACGTACGAAGACCACGGGCGAGAACAGTCGGACAGAATTTCTACGCGCAAGGATCACGAAAACGTGGAAAGAATGCAGCGAACGATCGCAGGATCGTGTTACGAATAATAGACGCGAATTTGACGATATGGTTCCACTCACCCACGATATGAACGAACCAGAGGATTTTCAATTCCATGGATGCTCTGCTGCAGTGCTCGTCCTGCGAATATCACGTTCCTACTCCTGCACAGATCGCTGGTGGTTACGATGATCGTGGCACGTCTGTGTGTGGTCGTAACGCGGCCGGCGCGACGCGTCTCTTCGCATGTCGCCCTTCCAGCGCGTGTTCTCTCCCCTTCGCGTGTCCAGTGCGTGTTCGCGTCCTCTGCTATGTTCCCGCTGGCACCCGAGCGAACGACAACGACCACGACCACGACCACGACGTCCCCTTACATAATAGCAACGTCGCGCACGGTCGACGAACAGTCGTGCCCCCGACGGCTAGACGAAGGACCAAGCGGCGTATCGGACGGTGTCGTGCGAAGCGAACGATGCGAACAACCCCCTGTGCGGTGTGTGCGCGGTCTGCGGAGCCCGGCTCTTCCGACGATGCTCCCTCGTAGCCTGGCGTTTCGCGCAGAATCAATTTCCTTGCAAAACGACGTCGAGGAGCGGCGCGAGTGCGAGTGCGCGCGCAAGCGCTTCGCAACCGATCTCTCTCCGCTATTCCTCTTGGCTCGTCGCCGTCGTCTTTCACCACCACCGAACCAGTCGACGAGGGGCGAGGATGGTCGCGGAGGACGCGCGATAGCAAAGCGAGAGGATATCGTTTGCGTGTGCCGGTAAGCCGTACACTGTGTCAGTGAAATCTGGCCCACCGATAGATTCCGAGCAACCCCGAGCCGATAGGCCAACCCCTTCCTTCTCTTCTCTTCTCTTCACCCTACCCCCTACTCTAAAATCATCTACTCCCACCCTTCCCACAATACCCACCGTTCCTCCTTCTCTGTTCCTCCTCTTCTTCCAACCGTGTTAACTCGTGGCTGCTTCGTTTCAGGAACCTCTTCGTCCTTCGTAAGCCGGCGAGTATGTGTTCGCGGAGGACGCGAACGCAGACGCGTCCCTTGTGCAACGCGGAACGCTAAACTCGTAGCGGAGCATCCTTCTTCGCGACACACAGAGACGCATCCTTGCCCTTTGTGCATGCTTCTATTGTTCTGGAAGCGGAGCCAGGTACCGGGCCACCGATACCGGCAATTCCTTTGCAACCGGCACCGTCGTGACACACGTCGTCTCTGTTTCGTAGAAGAGGTTGGCTGCTGAGAGGAGGAAAAGAAAGGGAAGAGCTCGCGAGATCGCTCGTCGTTTTCGCAGATTCTGTCCGCACGGATGCCCGACGGATGCTTTCGCCCGTGCCCGCGGGCGACTCCAAGTCGCTGTACTCGATACAGTCGGCTCTAATCGACTGGAGATCGAAGAATGGATTCAAGCAGGTTGTCCCTGCTCTCGCGTGGAGCTCGATGCTCCTTGTTTTTTTAATGAAATTTTGTTGCGTAACACCTGTTGGCCGACGTTACCCCTCGTGGCCCGATTCCGACGTTTATTTCGATGGTTTCGCGAGGCAAGAAAACCGAAGTCGTCCTTGGGGAAGTACGAAAGTCTATCGTTCTTGCTTCTTGAACTTGGATTCGTTTTTCGGCTTTTCCGACATACACCGACGATATTTCGCGATACGTGGTAAGAGTCGAACGCACTTGAACGCGTTCGTTTTTTAATTCACTACCGTAGATTCGTTATCTTAAGTGTCAAGTACTCGAGATAAAATTTATCAAAGACTTTCAGTTCACACTAACGCGTAGGTGTGCTAATAATAATAATCGTGACTCGCTAGAGTATTATCGTAATTACAGACGCGTTCGTACGTGGTCGAAATTCGATACTCGAAACGTATACTTCGTTTTTTTGCAGGGGGTTGTCGTCGCATGATTTTATTACGCGTGTTTGTCAACGACTTTACGCCGATAAAAATTCGTCCAAGTTGGAAACACCGATACATCGTAAATTTCAATTTCGCGGCGATCTCTGGGATAAATCGCTCCGCGGGAAAGTCGGGGGGGAAGAAGTTCGGTATCGATATATTTCGCGCATAATCGAGTGTCTTCTCGAGAACGATCGGATATAAATAGATTCGATGTATCTCGATCGTTGAACCGCCGCACTGTTTTAATATTCGCGGAGAAAAAGACGATTCTCCGTAGTAAATCGTCGCTGTCTCCGGTAAGAGAGTGCGTTTGAAAAAATGCACGGATCATAGACAGGGTCGGGAAAATGGCGAATCTAAAGCGTCATCCAAACAGCGTTACTCGAGGCATCCAATTTCCTGTTAATATGTGGCCAGAAAATATATAGGAGATGGATTTCCATGATCTTGCTTTTCTCCCGTGGCAATTTTTCAGAATAATCTGTCGGAAAATTTGCCACCGGATGCAAGACTCTGTCGCTTATATACCTATATGTGTGTGTGTGTGTGTGTATGCGCTGGTGCTTCGTCACACTTAACTTCTTTTCGTTGGATTGCACGGTTTTTCAATAGCTACGTCTCCAGAGGATGATGGATTTGGTTAGCATAAGTAGCGTAATGTGGTCACCTCGATCTCTCCAGACCTCTCACTTAGATATATTTTTTGTCCTCCTTTTTATTTCTATCGCGCGTAAATGGAATTTTCGTTAGCTGTTGCGCCCAGTGAAAATCGACGAACCTCGCGACCCGCAACAATGGCTTTCGAAGTCATTAAATAATACACAATGGCTTTCGAATTGCTCGCGCGACGAACGATATTTTCAGCTGCTTTGTGGAGTATGTTCGACCAGACACTACGAGCATCTGTATAACCCGGAACAATCGTAAACCAACTGGTTGTTCTGCTCGTTTATCGAGTTGTTGTTGTTCGCGTCTTTCAGAATCCGGATTTCGCTGACGAGTCTTTTCGACGAGGATTTTGATGAACGCGACCACGTAACTAGCTATAACGCGGTTAAATGGCCGCACGATTACGCGTACTCGCTTGACAGTACGAAAATTACGAGAAAATAACGAAGAGAAATTATTTCACGAGATACATTTCACGCTAACCTATGGCGACCTATGGGTACCTATGGCGAAGCTTTCAAAGTCCGTTCGATGCGTGTTCTAAATAGACATTTCTCCGGAGCGGAGATCGCACGATGAATTATATTTTTATCGATCTTCAAGACGAATAAGAGTACTTTGCTACGACGTGTGTAGTTGCAAAGGGAAACAATCTGTTCGTTAGTCAAAAAAATAGGAATCTTCTGAAATAACCGATGGACGTACAAAGTTTTACAAGAGATCATTAGGCGATATAATTACTTTTACGATGTACGCTACGGATATTTATACAAATATCCAATAGTAGCTGATAATAGAAAACGTGATCGTGTTATTAATAATTTTCTACTTGGAGTTCGGTTATCCAACTCGAGCTTCCATCTCACATCTAATTTCTGACAAATTCAGATTTGTACTGCTTAATTCGAACCTCGTTATTACTACTCGTTCTTTCGTGTACTTTATATCAAATCGTTTAATTTAATCGCTTAGAAATTCGAAGTGGAAAATAAGAGACGAAGTTATTTGCCAAAGCACTCGATACTATAGAGTTTTATCGAAACTCGTTACCGCGGTTAAATGCGATAAAAATTCTCATAAATACGCAAAAAATGTTATCGCGAGCATGATCCCACCCCCTATTACGATACTTACGAACGACCTTTCGTAGGCGAGTCGGTAAACGTCTGAAAAATGTCAGCCTCGGTGTATTAGAAACCGAAGAAAACGCGACAAACAGGGGGAGGTAAGCGACCAGTGTGCGTCGCGAAAAAGGAAACGGAAGATAGGGGAGAAAAGGGTGAATAGAACGTTCGTGAAAGTTTCGCGTGACACGCCGCGTTGGGCTATCGTCTGGTTCGTACAAGGGTGATTTTGCTAGCCATGGAACGCAGGAGGGTTCGCCGGCCAGGGGTTGCTCGGCATCTATCGGTAGGCCGGATTTCACCCCCGTGTGCACGCGAGCCCAACTTTCTATGGCATTGGTTTCCGTGGAATATTCGTGCTGGCTCGATCGGTCGACGGCTGATGAGCGCGTGTAATAGAAGAAACTGACTGGCTTTCGTGAGAGAAGAAGGAAAGATAGGAGACGATGTAGAAAGAGGCATAAAAACAGGAAGAACGCGTAAGATGATTCCACGAAAATAATTTCCCTTTTCGATCGAAGAGTCTTAGTTAGAAGACCGAATTGCTGGAACGGTTCGTGCTTTTCTGGTTGGAGCTTCCCTTCGGATAAAATTGCGGATATTGTCGATGCGAGATTCATGGAGAGCAGATAAGATGGACAATTCAAATCAATGGACGATTAATTATTATCGATTTGTTGTATTATCGGTTATAAATTGGCTATTCCAGTTGTTAATTATTCCTTGGTATTATAACAAATATCTGAAGAAGAAGAAACACCGATAAGAACAATGTCTGGCAAATTTGTGCAACTCATTTTTATAATCCGCGGATCTTTATTCGTTTCTAGAAAATTTCAAGGTGAAAAATCACGCGAAATCCAAATATACAAGGTGGTTGGTAACTGGTGGTACAAGCGGAAAGGGGGCGATTCTACGCGAAAAAGGAAGTCGAAAATATAGAATAAAAATGTTTCGTTCGAGGCTTTGTTTTCGAGAAAATCGACTTTGAATTTTCGCTCGGTACGCGTGCACTTTATCGCGTCTCGTTATAACGGATCTAGATCGTTGTCTCGATTGACGTTATTTTCAAAATTTTTTAAATTTTTGAATTTTTAAATTTTTAAATTTTTAAATTTTTAAATTTTAAATTTTTAAATTTTTAAATTTTTAAATTTTAAATTTTTAAATTTTTAAATTTTTAAATTTTAAATTTTTAAATTTTTAAATTTTTAAATTTTAAATTTTTAAATTTTTAAATTTTTAAATTTTAAATTTTTAAATTTTTAAATTTTTAAATTTTAAATTTTTAAATTTTTAAATTTTTAAATTTTAAATTTTTAAATTTTTAAATTTTTAAATTTTAAATTTTTAAATTTTTAAATTTTTAAATTTTAAATTTTTAAATTTTTAAATTTTTAAATTTCAAATTTTAAAATTTTTAAATTTTTAAATTTTTATTCTATATTTTCGACTTCTTTCTTCGCTAGAGTCACCCCCTTTCCGCTTGTACCACCAGTTACCAACCACTCTGTATATAAAATATTCGAAATACCAGACTCTACGACATTTATAATAACTTTCTACCTAGGCTGCATCTTTTTAATTACATTCATAAAGATAGAAATTCGTACGAATATCGGTCTCGATAGACGTCGATCTTGTGAATCGATTAGAAAGAAATCGTAAAACGACCGAGGCGTTAACGCAACGTTGCTTCTCGACGGTTTAATGTCAAGCTCTCGATTTCGCGTAGCTCGGTCGCTCGCAACGAACAATCGTGTTAAATACGCGTTTCCACGTTACGTATCATCCCGTTTGTTTCGATCGTGGCTCGTCCGAAACTTGAATTTTCCCTTGCTTTTTCGTAGAACGCTTTGGTTTTTTGATATTTTTGAGAACGAAGCCAACGAAGCCAGACTTGGAATTGCTCGTCGCCGTACACGATGTCATTCCTGGTTCTTCCAATTTGCCGGCAAGCTGCCGCGTTTTTGAGAGGCTGCGTCAGGGCTTTTCCGTACATAGTCTGGCAGAGTTTCGGTAAAACGGCCATTCAGGGGAAAAGCAGTTTTCTAGAATAGAATCGCGACCGTCCGTTTCCTTCTCGCTATTCTACGCGGTCTCTTATTCTCTGCGTCGCTGTA